CATACCCATCATTGTGGCATTGACATCAGTCGGGTGAGTGGCAGATGACCCAGGCAGGTTCCGCCATGGGTCCTGGTCTCCGTTCTTGGAATTCTGGCGCCAGGGCTGCGGCTGTCTACGCTTTTTAAGCTCATCCCGCTTTGCAATGCGCCGGTTCTCGGCTTCTTCCCATCGCTGCCAGGTCGGAAGCCAGGCATCCACGGCAGCGAGCCATTGCGGGTTCATCAATTCCTCGGCCGTTGATCCGGGTGCGTTTGAGCCTCGCTGACGCTGGTCCTCAAGAAACTTGATGCGCTGCCTCGTGACCATTTCGACTTTGCGCCGCACTGAGTGCCACGAGTAAGAGCGGCCTTCATGGGTGCGCTTGAACTCGGTGGCAATGGATATCCACCACTTGCACAGATTGCTGCGGCTGCCGAAGCTGTCTGCGTTTTGGTTGCAAATCTCGAAGAGCGCTACTTCTTCTTTGGTGGTAAGACGTCTGTGCTGCCGCGAAGTGTCACCATCGAGCTCATCATCATCGTTGTGATCGCGCTTTGTGCCTCTTTTAGTGGTTAATCCCGACATCAGCCTTGACCCATCTCCTCCGCTGCGTTGAGCTACGCCCACCGGCATCTGGACATAGTATAGATCGCTTTCGAGGATTTCTCCTTCACGTGAATCTCTTCCGGTTAGGTTTGCCCTTCCACGTGTCTCTTGACTGTTCTCTGGTGCGTTATCGGTCGTGGATGGATTCCTCACTACCACGGAGACGGACTGGGAAGCTGGGCTGAACCCTAAGCGCAGGCCCGATGGTACTGTGCCGAAGGAATTTTGTGAAGGGGGGTGATACAAAGGACGGTTGTATTCGTGTGGTTGAATGCGCGTCATGAGGACAGCAGCTTGCACGGTAGCAATAGTAGTGGCTGAGTAGCCGCCGTAGGAGACCAACAGTGCAAGTTGGGTGGCCTATGAGTCCAGGGATGGTCTCCTTAGTCCAGAGTAGCCATCAATAGGGTAAAATCAGCGCAGCGGACCAATGCAGAGTGCCCTTGTCGATCTGTGGGGATAAGATAAAGCTGTGATGTATTTCACCTGAGGGTTTTCTATCAGGTCCGTGCGCTAAGCATCTAGTGTTACAGCTCTGGCTATACTGTCTTTAGAGTACAGGAAAGAGCTTCAATTGAACAATTTGACCCCCTAAATGTCTTGATTTTGGGCTTAATGATGTGTATTCATTCGAATTGTATCCCATGGATACTTTCCATTGGGGTTTTAGCAGTTCAGATAACCAACACGTTTATATACTTGCAATGCACAAATCAAAACCCCAACACCTGTAGGTAATTGTCCGCAAGTTTGTATCATCGCTTTACAACATCGTGTGAGGCTCTAACATATCTCATGGAATTAGAACCCAATAGGACATTGAAAGTGGGCTCTTCGCATAGTTTCCACCCATAACAAGCCGGCAAAGCAGTCAGACCTACTTAAGGACCAGGCAAACGACCGAGCAATCTACAGCCGGAAACAGTAGCTTCAAAAATATATCCATTTACAACACATCATGGCTATGGTGGTACAGGGGGCGGAGCTGACACAAAAAGCCCCAAAGACAAGCAAAAGAGAAACCAATACCATGGTCAACATGATCCAGAAATATGCAGAAAGTGAGGGGGACCTAAGAGCCCACTAATACAAAGATGGGAGGGTTAGAGGAGGGTAAATAGTAGAACAGTAGAGACAAACGAAGAAGGAACAGGCTAGGCAGAGAGAGACAGGCCAACCACATCCTCTACCACCGTCTCCTCAGGTACCAGCCATAAGCCGGAGTGGCAATGGATTCGCCAAAGGGAGTGGGCACCTCGGCGGAACCGGGGCGGGCCACGGGGTGACGCAGGTACACGGCTGCACAAATGTTCTGGTTGACCTCGAGGTAGCGCGGGATGAAGGCAAAGGCAGACATATATTGGCGTGGCTGCCAAGGAGTGGAGTAGGTCTTGCTGTTGTCGAGAGGATTGTCGCGCATTTGAGTAAGAGCGCGCTTGAGCGTGTCGAACTCTTCGTCGCTGAGCTCTGAGGCATCGACCTCATTACCAAGTGTTGCCTGTGCGAAGGCCTCGGAGAGCTTGTCACTAACTATGGCCTCTGTGTCTTTCTTGGCGGAAGCCACTTCCGTATCTTCCCTGTCGAATGCGAAGGCATCTGCTGGACGGGGCTTCACCTCCTTTTTTTCTGGCTTCTCGCTCCGCTTGGCCTTGAGCAGCAGGGTCAGCTGGGAGAACTGGGCCTCCAGGCTGTCTGCGAGGACGGTGCTGGACTCGGAGCGGGACAATACGCGGCGGACGGCTTGTTGGAAGCCGCGAAGCTCCTGCTTGCGCTGGGGAGCGAGGGTCTCCTTGCCAGCAGACATGACAGACTTGGCCCGTGCCAAAAGCGCCCTGAGAGTCTCCTTGATATCTTCCTTTTCAGGCTCCTTACTATCTTCCTTTTCAGTCCCCTTGGTATCTTCCTTTGCGGTCTCCGTTGACTCCGCCTCGGCCTCTGGTGCGCCCTCGGCTGCCTCGGCTTCCTGCAATCTCTGTGCCTTAGCCCTTCTCCGAATCCTTCGGCCCTGACGTCGCTCGTATGGAGTCTTTGTGTGACCAGTGGCATACAAGACGCGTTCTGGCTCGACCTGGAAGAGGTCTCCAGGGTTAAGAAGATAGCTGGGGTGTTTCATCTAGTAACACAAAAGTCTATTAGTATAGAAGTAAACGATAGCTTCCCACATCGCATCATACCTTTTGCCCGTTAACAGTAACAGCTCCGTGGATGACGAACTGTCTCGCCTGTCTGGCACTGCTAGCAAATAGAGCTCGGAAGATGGCCACATCCAATCGTCGCTCAAGGGGTGCAAAGGTCATGTGGGTGTAAGGTGTCGGACGCGTCTGGTAAGCGGGTTTTCCACCCTTATCAAGCCCAGAGCCTCTACCGGACGAGACTAGGGTACCGTCATCGGCGGCCAAGTCGGATGCATTCATGGGGATAACACTGCGGATGCGATGGTTGAACATGCGTTTCCACTGTCCCTCGCGGACTTGCTCGCCGTGATAGGCACGGGAGACAGCCTTAGCAGACCATTTCTGTTGAAAGAATGTACGATTGGTGGTAGGTGGGCTGCGGAATCGTTGCATGTTATACAGGTTGTATTTGCTCCATGATTGACGGATTTTCTGAACAGTGCCTTGTTAGCCATTTGCATTTGGGGAAACCAAGCAAAGTAAAAAAATACATACGCCTTTCGACAACGTGTTGCTAGCTCTGTTTCTCATTGTGGCAACTCGGTAGACACAGTGCTGTAGCAAATGATTTGTTCTCCGGTCTAAGTTGGCCGAGTCTCAAAACTTCATAGCACGTGACTGCCAGCAAATAATGCCTTGAACATGTTGTAAAGGGATGCATTGTGTTTGCATAATTTGCTCATTTTGCATAATATGCAAAATGCCAATTCTCGCTTAGGCCACCTTGTTCTGCCACCGCCACTTTCCAAGGGTATATAAGGGAGCCTCCCCCGCAACCATTTCATTTTTTTTCTTTTTCTCTTCATACTTACCTTGTTTGGGTGACCGTGATCAAAAAGATGTGTCACCACAGGCTGGTCCCTGCATTGCACAGCGCGGTGGAACAGTCTGTTCAATGGCCTTCGGGTCATTGACAGGCGTATTCTTTGGCACTTCCATCTGTGGAAACATTCTTTTCATCAAGTCTCGAGCCAGTGGCTCGAGGTTGGAGAAGAGCACTGTAGTCAAAACCTGGAAGTTGTCTCAGAATGAGCATCATAATCCTCACAGTGGAGTGACGAATTCTGCTGCCTGTCCCTGCTCTCTCTGTGGCTCAAGGTGGTGACTCGGTGGAGTGCGCTTTGGTAATTAATCCCAAAAATTCCTGCTGAACGTGTGTGACGCGTCAAAAGGTGCTGTTCACTATGCCTCCAGCTTCTGCCCTATAACCGTCTATCCTATAAAAATTCACCACCTCCACAGTGGCGGTGTAGAGATCTGCATAATTTAGTCCTATGAAATTTAGCACTTTGTATTCACCATGTATTGCTTTGCTCTTGAATTCTTCCTTCAACCACCCTCTCTACCATTCAATTCAATTCACTATGGAATACCCTGAGCCCCCTATTGAAGAGGTCCCTCGTACCCCAAGCCCCCCCCCCCCGAACCACCGGATTCCGATACCGAGTCCTTTACCGCCGATACCACCAATTCCGCTACTTCTGCTATGCCTTGTGAGCCCTTTCCGATGGGTAATCTTGACCGGAAATTATAACGTTGGAACTGGCTAGAGCGAGATACTGCCATCCAAGTGCTTGCTTTGGATAGTATTGACTGGTCGAAACAAAGAATTGCGGATTATCTTGGTATTACCCGGAACCAAGTACGCTGGGCGATTGCACGAGGTACTCCTACGCCTCATAAGCCTCCGGGTCGAGTCCCAAAATTGAAAAGTAGTGAAGTGGATGATATTATTACTTTTATCACTGCAAATGAGGTCAATCGCCGGCTTTCGTATGAGAAGTTAATTGATATTCTATCTCTTAATATCTCTGTTGATACACTTCGACGAACCTTAGCTATTAGGGGATATAACCGGCGTGTCGCGCTTGGTCGGCCTGTTTTAAGGAGAAGAATCTCCTTGAACGCCTCACATGGGCACGAGCTCACGTTAACTGGACTCGTGATGATTGGTGTCGAATAATCTGGACTGATGAGACCTAGGTAACCCCTGGATACCACCGAAAGGTACGAGTGACTCGGCGAGCTGATGAAGAAAGGCACCCTGACTGCCTTCGACCTCGACGCCGGAAATGTGGAGGATGGATATTTTAGGCTTCGTTTTGAGGCCTTGAAAAAGGCCCGTCCCTCTTTTGGGAGAAGGAATGGGGCTGGATTGATGCCGAAGGCTATGTCTCGCACATTGCTCCTTTAATGGAGGGGTTTTTTCGCCTTCGAAAGTATCGAAACCCAATTGTTATGCAAGATAATGCGCCTGGGCATTCTGCTAAAGAAACAATTGAATACTTTGAGGAGCTTGGTGTTTGTATAATGGCGTGGCCTACATTTTCACCGGATTTGAATCCTATTGAATCTGTATGGAATTGGATGAAGGATTGGATAGAGGAGAAGTATGGAGATCAGTATATGACGCCTACTATACTTCGAGGGGTTGTTCGTGATGCTTGGGATGCTGTACCGGAGGATTTCTTGAATGGGCTGACTGAGAGTATGCCTGCTCGGTGCTAGGCGGTTATTGATGCTTAGGGGGGTGCTACTAAATACTAAGTGTTGTATATAGTAGTGGTATTGTATATGAGAAATTGTTGTATGTTGTATGTGAGAGAAATGGAGAGTTGAAAGGTTGAGAACCCTGTTTTTTAAAAGAATAATGTAGTATCAATTTTGAAAATACCATATTAAATACATTCAATACTATGTTATGCTAATTTATACGCTAGTACCGCCACTGTGGAGGTGGTGAATCTTTATAGGGTAGACTGTTGTAGATACTCTGAAGTTTTACCTTCATCTCTTGAATGATTTTGGTATATGGTGAAGAAACATGCTAGCAACTCCAGAAACCACATCCCGCCATGCTAAATGCATTCAAAATCCTGGTCGTACAACGATGAACATCTCCCCTGTCATCCCTTTCACTCTCTCCTAGAACTTGGGAATGCTTCCGCCAATGACTCTGCCTCTTGGGGATTTGTCCATTCCTCTAGCAGCTCGTGAGCCATGTCAACAGTTTCGTCATCGATGCCCGCCTCCAGCATCGTCCCATCACAAAATGCCAACCGAGTTAACACAACCAGATGTTTCTGTTTGCTGCCGGGCACACACGCCAGCTTCTCCTGCATATTGATCAAGGGGCCATGCTGCCGCATGACCCCGAAAACCAGCCGCATAAGGCCATTGACCAGCGCAACTCGCAGGTCTGACTCTGGCGGGGAGGAGTAAAGTGCATCCAGCTCATCGTGCATTGACCGGAATAAACGAGCGAGTGCATTCGGATGCAGTGCGAGGATTGTACTGGCATGCTTTGGGGACGGCGCCATAGGATTTAATGCCAGCGACTCCAGTAGCAGCAGGACCTCCAGGCGCATCGCACAAATGTCATATGCAGTGTAGGGCTCTACACCTTCGTCCGGTATCGCAGGCTCGCTCAGCATGTGTGTGAGGCGGTCCACTATCCACTTTTGCACGTCCAGTTGGTCCTGGTCAGAATTTCTGATCGGACCAAAAGAGTCTGCGCGAATGCTTGTTGACAGGAGGTTCATTAAAAGCACAATATCACCTAGTGGATGTGACGGGTGCAGCATCACAAGAATGAATGAGATTCTGATGTTTTGCCAGAATGTCTCCATTGCACTTTTATTGTGTAATACCCCGCAGGCGATCTGGTAAAGTAGACGCATGGCTCCAGTCGAGTCGACTAGGGGCTGCAGATCCGACTGTGGCGTCTGTCGAGTGATTCGTTTATCTCTTGATGCCGGAGCGTACTTGAAGCGAGGAACTGCATTCACTTCCACGGTGTCTTGCAAGACTCCAACCAAAGGGGTGATTACTTCGGAGAGTGGAACGTCATCCGACATTAAACAATATTTTGTGATAGCTTCGAATCGGGGGATCGGCTCGTAGAATTTCTCGTTGATGGCACGCTGCCATAGCGAGGTGATCGTTTGCATATGTTCTAATACGTAGCTGTTGGGGTCGACACGAGCCATGACCTCCATAACGATGCTGGACATGGGTCGATGCGGTTCCGAGGGAAACGTGAACTTGGCCATAGCTTCAAAATCGGTTTCTTGGTGAGGATGCGTACGGTGACTCAGAAGTCGCATCATAAATCGCTGGTTGCGATCCGCCTCTGCAGACTTGCGCTTCACCTCGTCGACCTCGGCCGTAGTCTCAGTCGCATCAGTCATCATAAGCTCCACGCCAGCAGGATTCAACTGTAGTGGCACAGGGCCATCTTGGCTTGATTGACGTTTGCGTTTTCCTGGAACTGTCGGCGTTGCTCGCTTAGAACGCGCTGCAGACTTGCTGGGCGATACCATAGCGATTTCATCATCGTCAAATCCATCGCGGAAAGGAAGCACCCGGGACTTTCGAGGAGTCACTGGGGCTTCCATCTCACGATTCTTAGATTTGTAGTTCCGAAGCTGGTAGGCTTCATCCACGAGGTCTTGTTGAAGAAATATGTTCTCCGTCGCCAATACCTTGCCTTCGGACATCGCCGCCTCAACCTCTTGCTTGTGTTTTGCTATTTCATCGGCCATAGACTTCCGCAGAGCCGCAAGTTGCCGGTCATAGTCTTGTGTCATCGTTGTCTGCTTCTTTCGAATAATCGAGATTTCCCCAGCTTTCGTTTCCACTTGCGTCCTCGCTTCGGCTAGCTCCTGTAACATTTGTTCTCTTTCTTGTTCCATCTATTGATATTGTTAGAGTTTAACCGAAGAAGCATTCAAATAACCCACCTGCACCAGGCGTGCATTGATCTCTGCTGCGGCGTTCCCTTGCCCATAGTGCTCGTCCACATCCATGGCATCGCCCAGTTGCCCCTTGACCGTAAAACTGGGATCCGTGACGTGTATGTGTTGATCATGCGAAATAACATGCGGCTTATCGACATTATCGTACACCTCAGCCTCAAATTCCCCCACCTCCAGCGCATTGTAGTCGTTTGTCAACCCCGTGTGTAGACGAGGCGGTGGTCTCAGCGATCCAGAGTTGTTGTTTAATGGCACACCTTGAGTGTGTGGCACGGGGTTGCTGTTTATGGGGTTTGAGTGACACTGTGAGGCTGACGCCTGGGTTGCTTGGAACGCATTCTGTTCTAGCGCAAACCACGTCCCCGGTGGCAGGGAGTCAAACTCGTCGGAGCCATAGTCGTCGTCGTCGTCTTCCATGCCCCCGCCATGAATAGACTACCAGAAGAAGGTGACGGGATCTAAGTTCACGGGGGGCTTTTGATCATTCTCGAGTTTGAGTGGTTCCGAGGGTTGAAGAAGAGAGATGGAGATATAGCACGGCAGTTTGAGGGACCTGGACAACAACTCTGCACATCCACTTTTAATATCTAGCCACGAACGTAATATTTGAAGGGCAAATAGTGAGTTATTCAATTGTTAAACCCGAATGATACACCGGTTGTAAAAAAAAAATTCACAAGCCAAAAAAAAGCAGTAAACACGGGGTTGAAGCTGAAGCTGACCGCTTTCGGCACTTCACATGAGCTCATTAACTTCTAACCTGATGGTCACCTCTCGCTCTGTACACCCTCATCTTCTGCTGCCCAGATTCTATTTCTGGCCTTATTTTCTTCATCATGTCGAAAACTCGCCGTAATGTTCGGTTTCAACATCGGTCAAATGATGAGCAACGCCTCAGCGTGTCCTCCGATGTCAGCGATGCACCCCCAGAGCCCACTAGCCCCAGCAAAAATGGTAATGGGTCCAAACCATCTACAACAACTGAAGAGGTCGGTTTCTATTCAAGGACCTCGGAACATAGGTCTGACATGGTTTTCTCTTCTAGAATTCCCCCCAGTCCGAATATGAGAAGAAGAAGCAAACCTTCATCACCCGGACCATATGGACATTTGTGATGATCGCCGGTTTCTTCATCGCCTTGTTCTCCGGCCACATTTATATTATTGCCCTAATCACTGGAATCCAAATCATCTCGTTCAAGGAAGTTATCGCGATCGCCAGTATCCCCAATAAGGAGAAGAACTTGCGGTTCACCAAATCGTTAAATTGGTACTTCCTGGCGACCACCATGTATTTTCTATATGGAGAGAGCGTTATCTACTACTTTAAGCACATTCTGCTTGTTGACAAGGTGCTGCTACCATTGGCGAACCACCACCGCTTCCTTAGCTTTACACTTTATGTCATGGGCAAGTGTCTCGATCGCTCCCCTTTTTACTCCGCTAATACTGGTTGATAGGATTCGTGTTCTTCGTCGGATCTCTGCAGAAGGGCCACTACCGATTCCAGTTCACTCAGTTTGCTTGGACCCATATGGCTTTGTATTTGATCGTTGTCCAAGCTCACTTTGTCATGAACAACATTTTCGAGGGTATGATCTGGTTCTTCCTCCCCGCTGCGCTGGTCATCACCAATGATATCTTCGCCTACGTCTGCGGCATTAGCTTTGGAAAGACACAACTTATTCAGCTCTCCCCGAAGAAGACGGTCGAGGGATTCCTTGGCGCATGGGCCTGCACCGTTGCATTTGGTTACTTCATGACCAACTTGCTGATCCGCTCCAAGTACTTCATCTGTCCTGTCACCGACCTGGGCTCGAATGCTTTGACCGGTTTGGAATGTGTTCCGAACCCGGTCTTCACGTCGCAACCTTACTCTCTTGAAGTCTTTGGCCTGGACAAGACCTTCTGGGTGGAACCCATTCAGTTCCACATCTTGGCTTTCGCCACTTTCGCTTCGTTGATCGCTCCATTCGGTGGATTCTTTGCTTCCGGTCTGAAGCGTACCTTCAAGATCAAGGACTTTGGCGAGTCCATCCCTGGCCACGGTGGTATCACTGACCGCATGGACTGTCAGTTCATCATGGGCTTCTTCTCTTACATGTACTACCACAGCTTCATTGCTGTCTACAAAGCCAGCGTGGGCGACATCATCGAGGCCGCCATCAACGGTCTTACGGTTGACGAGCAGCTCGAGGTTGTCCGTGGCTTGGGCAAGTACTTGTACAACCAGGGCGCCGTCTCAGAATCGGTATTTTTTTTCTTGAACCAATTACCATGATTAGATCACTAATCTCTCCCAGATTCTGGAGTGCCTTGTCACTGAGCTCAAGCGTTGATGAACTTAAGATTGTCCGGCACTCAGATTGACAACTCCACTCAAATTTATGACACTCATCTTTCACTTTCATTTCCACCATTCGAGGACGACCTTTCAACCCCGCTCTTCACCTCTGCAACTCTCCTCCGATTGCTTCCGCTGTACCGATTATCCCCTCTTCTTGCTTCTTGCTTCATTCGGGAACTTGATTTGGTTCACCGAATATGCATGCGAGCTTTAATATGTGCATGCATGATATGTACATACATCCGCCCCGCTCGCCCTACCCGCCTTTCAACACGGCATCAAAACCCATCAAAATGCCCCGTGGTAAGGGCTCTAATGAACTGGTGCGAAGGCCGAAAATCTTCAACGCCGGAGGCACGGGGACTAATTCTTCTTTCTTCATTTACGGCTTTTCCCCTTTACTTTTGTTTAGTACTCTACTTTTTTATTCTCTTCTCTTCTCATTCTGATTGAAGTCGGGCCCTGGGCCGACTTTAAATTTGATGACTTGCGCTGCACGGGTCCACCTTAACCTGGGGCTTTGCCATATTCCCGATGCGTGGGACGGACCTATCCTTCTACAGAAATGGTAGAAGGAGGGGGATAGTGAGGAACATGTTTGTGTGTTTTTCTCTGGCAGTTTTGTCTCTAGCTTCACTTTTTTTGGTTGATTTGAAGGGAATGGCCTATAGATCTGTACATAGCTTTCAATTCAAATTTTGAAGCTGATTTTTGATTTGGTTTTACTCTATTATTTGCTCCTTGACCCTTGAGAATGGATTGGTAGAAAATCAAACACGTTGTTGTCCTACAAAGAGAGACTGATTATCAATATTGGATGGTTCTTTCATTGTATCTATCGTCACTGGTCATAGATGTCTGGGGTATCGGTAAATCGTGGGAAATGTGGATTATAAGATGAGAACGTTCGAGAATGTGAGTCTCTCGTATCCGAGACAACTCAGTTCCGAAAGTGTAGAGCAAGAAACCAAACGTTTCGCCCATTTGTCCAGAAAAATGCAGACAAAGGCCTCATCGGAGCTTGGAAAGGATGCCGGCGTCTCCCAACAAGAGTTCTCCGAGCTTTAGAGTCGCCGTGACCGGAGCATTGTTCAGTTGCAATCAAGATAGGATATAGTATATGGAGCCCCCATCCTAGCTCATTCCCAAAGCCGCTATGATATGATCGATCAATGGGAACAAAGCAAGACCTTATCTTAGCTGCGCATCGCCACATGAGGCATCTCAGGTGGTAGGAACACAAACAGCAAGAACCATGTCTTAATCGTCGACTTCATATTCTTCCACTTCGACCTTGAAGTACTCCGCAACCTGTCGTCTCTCCTCATCCGCACATGCGGGATCAAGCATGAATCGCACGGCAGCGTCCCGGCCTCGCTCACCTGTCCTCTGGCGGTCCCCGTTCGCGGCAATCGGTGTTAAGGGATGAGCAGGTCGTGGAGTATCTTGGTAGTTGGCGCCTGTGCCGTTAGATGGCCTGGGTGGCTGGCCAACCCACGGCTGGTAGCGCGGGATGTTATATTTGCTGGCTTCTTGGTTGAGCGGAATGCGGACTGTTAGGAACCGGTCTGCGGGGAATTCCGAGCCGACAGCGGTTAGTGCGCGGTGGTGGGTGTAGAGTTCTAGGAGGTCGAAGAGGGTTTCTGAACGGTTGTTATTATTTGGCATTCTCTTGGTGAGTGTGAATGGGAATGCAGTAACAATGCTTACCCATGATTTCTGCTCGGCTGGTGCTCCACTGCGCATAGTCTAGCCCAGACTCCACTTGTTCGACGCGTTGATCCAAGAGTCGTCCTGCAAGCTCAAGGCAGCTAAACGCCATCGTCGAGGAATTTTGTTTGATGGGGGCGAATGTGCGATAAAGATCCGACGAAATGCGGTAGGCAAGATTGGATACTTCAGAGTTTTGTGGTAGTCCATAATGCCGACCAAGCTTCATGAGGGTCTTGTGGGGATGCCGGGTTCGAAAGTCAAACCCAGAGGCCTCTAACATCAGTCGTTCAAGACCTATGATGCCACGCGCATTGGATTCAAACATCTCATGATAAGCGTTAATCCTCTGTCTTGTTTTATCTGGCATCTTGACTTACGGGATCATCAGCAGATAAGTGCTCCGAGGGCGCCACTTTCAAGTTGTATGCTGCGCAGACAATGTCTCGCGACTTTTTGAGCGTATCTTCGATCTTGCATGCTGTAAATAGAGCCGCAGCCGCAGCATCCTGTATCCTGGGTTAGGGCTGATCTGCTTGAGGGACTTCCGAGAGAACTTACAGTCCAATTATACTCATTGTCGGGGTGCACCAATCGAAATCGGTGATAGTATCCCACTGCTGTGTCAAACGTACGAATGGGACTGGGTTTCCAGTTAGCCCTGATGCATTTAGCTTGGCTTGGAGTCACCTTACAGGTTGAGGGCTCTCCGCACGCTGTCGATCCACGCCACGCCCTGAAGACGCACTGAAGTTTCGCGAAGTGGATTAACACTCATCGCCTCGATGCAATTTTCAATTGTCTGTTCGAATATGTATGGATTGGCCACCTGTATAAAAGACGGGTGGATGGCTGGGGGTGACAGGGCATATTCTAGCGTTGAGCTTCCGCGGGGAGAATCATCCCTCGTATTTCGTGCCATGGCAGTCTCTTGTATTTCCTCAGAGGACGGCAATTTCAAGCAATGTATTTGGAAGTTGCAAGATGAAGACGCGCAACAAGTGACTGGATTGATATCTCGATCACGTGTTGTACCAAGAACTTCCAATCACGTGTAGGCCTGTCGGAAAATCAAAAATATCCCGCACTCCGAAGTGGATGTATGTTGTATACATGTACCTGCGTATCATGATGCTTTATTTCCCGGAGACGGATGTGTAATTTAAAATAGTAGTGATCATGCTTGAGATATATGAATAACAAGAGATGGTCTCACAAATCCCTTAAGGAACACCTCGACCAGCCCGTGTCGCTTTAGCCAACTCACTTTGAGCTGTGTTATCGGCATATGTCTTGTACATGGGAAGGTAATGCGCAAGATCACTGGTGGTCTCCTTCATACTCTGTCTGCGTTTGATAGCAGCTAGCCACGTCCTCCACCGACTCCAAATCACCTCATCCGAGCCCCCTTCCCCCTCCCTCGGAATCCCTAATCCACCACTCTTGAACTCATCAAACACCCAAAGTCGTCCCGCCCACGGGGCCAGCACTAGATCCGGCAGACTAATCTCCTCACCAAGGAAGAAAGGTTCCTCGGTGTGCATCTCCTTAGCCCAAGCTTTCAGGTGACTCAAGAACTCTTGCCGAGCCTGATCCAACCCCGCATCTACGTTCTGCCCACTGCCATCTGCAGACTGGTATTGCAGGAAACGGTGGAAAGATGGAATTATTCGAGATGTCACATAGTCAATCCAGATGCGTGACCGGGCACGCTCGTAGGCATCCTCTGGTAGTAAGCGGGGTTGGTGGTCTGGGTATGCTTCTTCCAAATACTCCAAGATGACAGTAGATTCATACAGTGGCCGTGGATGTGGATCTGCTGGCGTTGATAGTGTAGGGACTAGGCCTCGGGGATTCAGTGTGAGTAGCGACTCTGGCTTGTTGTATGGGTTGACCTCGATGTATTCGTATGGGATCTTTTTCTCTTCAAGGGCGAGCCAGACTCGTTGGACTGTGTTTGGTTAATATTTTATTTATATACGAGTGAATGAGTGCATACCAAAGCTGTGTACCTAGTTAGCAGTCGTTTGATTTCTGTACAAGGGGTCGTAGACATACGGGCAGAACCACCCCGCATACAGCTTTAATGGCTGTTCAGCGCGATGCCGATCGACCAGCGCCTTGGCCGGGCCACTAGCCTCGTGATAGAGGCTAGAATCAGATTGGGCCGGCATTGTACAATGTAATTTGGTGTTTTGAAGGGAAAATTGAAAAAGTGCAAGGAAGAGGTTGAAGTTGGACAAAATGTGGATATTAGTGTGACATCATATCCCAAGTAGTGTCTCTAGCGAGATATATTGTCTCAATTTCGAGGGGATATAAATAAGAGAGATGGGAAATTCGAATAGTAGATAGATTCTAGTCTTTTCCATGCTTCCTGGTCAACTTGTGAATAATTGACATAGCACCGGATTGATACTCTCCACCAAAAATCGCGTAATGATTCAGATGGTGATGTAAACTTGTCATGAAAAAAAAAAGACAAGAAGAAAAGAGACTCACAATTCATACAATTCCACCCGATCAGCATACTCTGCCACGGGTTCAGTCTTCGGCACAATCCAGTGATACTGGTCAAAGGACCGAGATCCAAACAGATGTATCATCAGATTATACTCATTATGTCCATAGCAAGCTGATGGATCATACACCACATCTTCAGGTATCTCATCGCCACCCGAGCCAATGGTCCGACCCCAATCAGCATTCCCACTCGACAAATCCCCTTGAACAGCAAAAGGCACAATATCCTTCCCCTCGCCACTGGAAGTATACACTAAATGACCAGCCCCCAAGCAGTCGAGGCACAAATTGATGCGCCATCTTCTCAACCGCCTCACGTAGCCCAGTATCTGGGTCACTGCGCTCTTCAATTGTCGCTAGGATCGCAAGCAGCCGTTCGTTCGCATAGAACTCAGCCCAGCTATCACAAACCTGGTTCGGCTGCTTGGTATTGCCACAGAATATCGGCACAGGGAATCCGAATCTGCGCCGGCCAGTGTTCAGATCGAGGGGCACGGGCGTAGTATGCAGTTTAGACATTGTTATTAGATTTCTGTTGTTAGGAAGAGCAGCTTCGTTTCAACAGATATTGAACTAGCCGCAGAGATGTTATTAGACCTGATTGCAAAAGGCTATGGATGATTCTCTTCACATAATGGAGCTCTTACCACCAAGCCCATAGATGACATACTTATAGCTTTCGGGTACATATCCACGAATTTTAATAGATTTTATGCTCATTTACGATATTGAGATGAGCTCGTCACAGTAAGAAAGAATTGTCCACATTTTCCCACAGTACTCCGATTCATCCAGAACGTCCACGGGTAACTCTAACCATAACAAAGATATCAACTATGCGGGAGACATTTTGTTCAGCAAATGCAGTGCAGTCTTCGTGCGCTCCCTTATGTCTAACTCCGCGTCATCCTCGAGGCTAGCCAGCCGTTCCGCAAACCCAAGAGAACGAAGTCTCACTGCCCGCTCCCGACAACCTTCATGATCACTCTGATCTTCTTCGTAGATGAGGTTGATCACTACCCAGACACAGTTCGACCGAATGTCTTTGTGGGAATGATTGAAGTAGTTGCCCAGAGACCGCAACAAGTCACGGTGGAATGTGACAATGCGCCGTTGGCGTGGATGCCCGGCCGCCAAGTGGATAACAAGAGCGGCAGCTGCGTTGATGATCTCATTAGGGACGTGGAGGGACTGGCTGCTGGAGTCCCGACGGTGAGGCAGTTGGATGGTACGTGGTCGCAGTGTATCTGCAATGGTATCGAGGAAATCATTTTGACCAAGCTCTCTGAAGAGATAGTCAATCATGTCAGGTGCATCCCGACCACAGATCATGTTGCGCAATAAGTCGAAAGTCTGCTCCTGGACTGCAATATCATCCCGTCGAGACTGTGTGGTTTGAGCCAGGGTTCCGTGCAGAACGAGTTTGCGTCTACGTCTTGCATCAGGAAGGAACATATCCAGACTCATTTTGGAGGGAGGCATAGTATCCATCATCTTGAGGTCCTCGTCCCACTCCGTTACGTTGTCCATGGGATTCAGAATATCGACCTGTTCGCCAGCCGAGTTGGATCGACCCATGACAAACCCAGGACTTTGATCCATCTCCCCTTCAATCCCCCGTCGAGCTACTGCGCGAACCGGATCCTGGGAGATGACCTCCATAATCCATTCAGGGCCCAAGGTCTCGATTATGTTCATTCTGATGTCATTTGCGGTGTCATAAATCATATGCTTGAGAGCCCAGAGCGATTCAATCTGTAATTTGGTGTTGGAAGAATGAGCATGTTCACAAAGGATGGGGATGATATTGTGGGAAATGATTGCCTGAGAAACTTGTGTTAGCTGCATAGTTGACGAGCGAAAGATAGACATCAACAAACCTCTTTCATGGGGCTGAAGTCCAAAGCCAAGTTACAAATCGCAGCCGTTGCTGCAATTTGCACCTCGAGATCAGAATGGCGAAGAAGGACAAACAGTGGTTTGGCTACACCAGCATCAATAAGACTAGTTCTTAGCACGCTCACGGATCTAGTCAACATCCGAGCTGTACCACAAGCAGCCAGAATTGTCGGAATCGGATTTCCATCCTCTGCAGTATTTCTAGGTGTTGTAGCATCAGCCAGCGCATCACTAGGCCTTGGTTTGAGAGCGTCAATGATGTAAGGGACTACGCCATGTTCGCAAATCGCCTTGCGGTACTCGTCCTTGAAGGGGACGAGTGCTGCTAAAGCCTTCAAGATGTTCTCTCGGTAACGCATTACATGGCAAAGGGTCGGAGAGTAGCCGGAAGGCCCGAGGCGGCACTCTGGTGAAAGAGACTCGAAATCCCGAGGTGGGCTATCCCATGCGTGCCACATCGGCCGGGATGTCTCCGTGATTGGATTGTAAGTCTCCTTGAGAAGTTGTGAAAGTCGCTTTAGCGCATTGGCTTCTACTGCATGTCTCTGCAGTTCCTGGTCGTCCATGACCAAGTTGGCTAATACGGCAGGCGCCTCTTCTTTTAAGCGTAGGGTCGACGAGAGTAGCCCATCATGAATTGCGCCTTCTCCATCTGGCAGTATGACGTTCTTTTCAAGCATACGAATCAAGATGGGGATTAACAAATAACTGAACATCGGGACGCGATGTTTCTTCGCCAATCCTAACCGGAAGAGGGCCGTGACTAGACGGGCGGACATCAACCGTATCATGCCGTTCTCTGAGCGGAGAATGCAGATCAGCCATGGAACAATCGAATTCTCGTCCTCTTCTGGGACAGGAGTGTCAACCAATAAAAAAGGCGTGTGGTTAGAATGGCTGTGTCGGCGCTGGGAGCCCCCGTGTCCCAGAGGTGGGAAATTGGCAGAACGAGATGATGACTTTGTGTGTGCCAGAGGAACCGACGGTAAAAGCTGCTCTATGGGGTTGGAGCCAAGATGACGGGGTACTGCGGAGCCCGACAGATATGTGGATCCCCACGGACCTTTCTTGATGTCTGATGGAGCAAACCCAGCGAGTTGTTTTGGAAACACCGTCACAATTCCAGGTGATGACAGAAAGTGCTCTGCCCTCCATTTTGACTGTTCAATGATGACGGCAACTGCACGTAGAATCGGTGCTAGCTGGGCGGATTCGGGGGCCGGAAGCGGCAGATCCTCCAATGTGCCAGGTTCTTGAAGGCGATCTTCCGCGCCAGGCAAAACAAATCCCATGGCCACAACAAATGAGGCAATCTTGAGCGCCAAAGCATCTAATACCCCGGATTCTGCTAGCGCAGTCTTGTGGGATTCCTCCGTACAGAGCTTGCCGATCAAGGCGGCTGCCAGCTCAATCGTGACCTGGCTGCGCATATTCTTGTACTCCTGCGAGATTATACGTCTAAGAGAAGTCATGTTTGCGGAAGCAAAAACAAGATCCGCAAACTGCGTGTCCCGAGGCCATTGTTCCTGGCTTTGCAACGGGATCCGATCTGCAATTGTGTTCAGGAGTCGTAGAATGGGAAGATAGAATGAATCTGGGCAGTCCGGAGACGAAAATATTGAAAGTAAAGTTTGGGGGATATTGCTGGCGAATAGTGGGGTGAGAAACGTTGGACCGCCTGCTCAGTACGGTCAATGTCTGTCTTGGTTTATTGGTACATGGATCTGGTCTTCACGTACCTTGTGCCAAACTCCCAACAATGAGAGTTGTTTGAAGGCATGCTTCATAATCTTCGGGGGCTTTTGACATAGACCGGCCTTGAGGCAATCTCGATTCATTAAACTCGGCCGTTCCCGGCCATCTCGAGGTCAGCACCCGTGCTAAAGCTGGTATGATTCCCTCGACAACGTAGGTTTCCTTGCGCTGGTCATGTCCAATCAGTTCATTCTTTAAAGCGCACAAAGCTGTAATTTGAGAGGAGGCCGAATCGGCGCTCTGTAGCTGCAGCAGAATCGGCGGTGCGGCAGCTCGCGTCATCATCTGGCGATCACCCCCTCCCAGCGGGAGGTTCTCGACGTTTCACTTCGTTGAATTCAGGAATTGGTAAAGAGATTAGAATGATATAGAGGAAAGTATCTCCGTCAATGTGAAGATTGTGTGGACCTGGATGTACAACGTGGATAGTTATGATACCTGACCGGAACTGTAGAGCCGGGCCTAGAGATACTCCGCACTTCAGTTCTGCCACCTCCCACCGCTCCCCAAAAGTGGCCCCGGATTAATGAACGAGCGGCACTCAACCTGACGTTTGTATACAGTTTGCTACGGAACTTGACCACGCTAATTGCTTCTATTGGAAGATCTGCCGCCATTAAAACAGCCTTTGCCGGGGACATCATCTGGAGTCTAATGTCACCTATTAGGATGGATTCCAGGATTTTTTGCCTTTCCATAAGAAGAGCATTTTCAAGTTTACAAGGGTATCGCCTGGGCAATAGTGTATGAATACTAATCACAATTTACTTGTGCAGTGCCCCATGCCCTATGATGAGATCTATATTAAATGTAGCGTTTGTAATGTGATCCCTGGCAATTGTTCTCATCTGTGTGTAACACTGCAGCAACTCCTGTATTACCGCTGATCCGGGGTCCGGGGAATCAATAAATTACCAGGGCAACTAAGTGAATCCAATTACAACATATGAATTGCTATGCATGTATTTCATGTACAACATAATACTTCAATACTCTAAGACAAGTACGAAGTACAACAAATTATACTTGATTTCTCTTGGCACTTTAACCTAAATCAGCTAGGGTACCGTACCTAGTTTACCCCCGCTTCCTCTTCCCGGTAGATTCTTTCACATCAAATATTAGATTGTAGTAGTTAGAGTGCTATACAACAGTGAGGGTTGTTTGAGCGGATGGCAGATATTGATTAAATTAACACCACCCACTATAAAGTCCTAAGTAACAGCCTAGAAATAACAAATGATCTAGTAGCAAAGCCAAAAAAAAAAAAGAATAGTAAAGAAAACAAAAAACACCATACTGTAACAGTACAGTAACCGGAAGCAGCCAGCCACTGACAGCATGGATGTAATTACCTCACTGACGAACTTTCAAAGAACAAGATTTTCAACCGGCTTTCGCCCCCTTCTTGTTCTCTCGTCCAAGATCATTCGGATTATTATTCCTCTAGCCACACCCACTCTTTCCTTTTTCAGTACTTGCTACAACCCTCTTTTGAATTCCCTCTGAGCCTTTAAGCCTCTCGAGGATGAGGACGGCCGTGCACTCACGCCATCCACAGCGCGCCCTGACTGTGCGCCCACGTGGTCTCACCTTGCACTGTGAATGCTCAGATTCCCAGCATTCCTCAACAACCTAGTCACACCCTAAAACCATGTTGGCGTCTTCGCCCTCGCCTTCTACGGCTGCGTTACGCTCTCCGCTTCCTTCTACTTCGGGATCGCACTCCCATTCACACTATGAGCCGACTGGTGCTCCACAATTCAATAGTCCTCGATCCTCACGTTTGGCCATTGACGAACTCCGGTCAGCCTTGAATCGACATACTGTCGATCCTTCCTCTCCTGAAACTTCAGGGGATCTTCAACATAGGCGCGCATCTTCATCCACCGACACTCTGAAGACCCTGGTCAACAATTCGGCCTTGGCTTCGACCCCCCAATTGACTTCTTCTTCCGCTGTGACTGCAACCAGCCCAACGACCGCCACGTCTACAAATCCACCGACTTCATCCCCCGCTTCCTCGATGCCCGCCCCTTCCTCCGGTTCCAATAAGCGCAACAGCCAACGGGACCATCACGCATCGGACGCGACGCCGGCGGAATACGATGGCGAAGATTTGGAGAGATCGCAGTCTAAGCGCCTGCGCCCCTCCAAACCAGATGTTAAGATGTTGCCCACGCAATACGAACTGGCGGACCCCCGTGACATGGTCGTGCTGATCTCCAGCATGCTTATGGAGCTGATCCGATTCAACGACAAAATCCCGCTGCACCAGGGTCGTCTGACTCGCTTTCACTCGCGCTCTCCGCCTCGAATCTCCGTTCAAGATTATTTACAGCGGTTGACGACCCACGCCACTCTCTCACCCCCTATCCTCCTCAGCATGGTTTACTATATCGATCGACTCTGCGCACTGTACCCCGCCTTCACCGTTTCCAGTCTGACCATCCATCGGTTCCTGATCACTAGCGCCACAGTCGCCAGCAAGGGACTCAGCGACAGCTTTTGGACCAACAAGACGTACGCACGAGTCGGTGGAATTGGTATGACGGAGTTAGCCATGCTCGAACTAGATTTCTTGTTCCGAGTCGAATGGCGCATTGTTCCCCAACCGGAAGTGCTGGTAGACTATTATCAAAGTCTTGTCGATCGATGCGACGGGTTTGAAATTGAAGGCGTCTGCCAAAATGGCAGTGCTAAAGCCGGGGTAACGGGTATTGCTCCAGCAGCCTGTCCTGTTCCAACATAAACGATGGACCACTATGCCCAATTACGCCGCCGATGCGAAATCTGCACAAATTACGCAAATCACGTTCTGCCCTGGACCACTCGGGCCGGTCTCGAGTCAGCCATGGATGAGTGGACTCTTCTCCTTTTCACCCGCCAATTCTCTGGCGGTGTGATTTAGTACATACCACTTGCATTGGGGTGGTGATAGTGTCAGATCTCGATGCACCATTGTTTTCGATCTAACATCGAGGAGCACCAGCATCAGAAATGGCTCTTTAGAACAGAGATGTATCTCACAGCATATACCAAAGGGTCGATGGGCAATACCTTGTTTCTCATCCTTTCAGCGTTTTTTCCACGGGGCAATTGGCGTTTAATGTCTCGTGGGATGATGAGGCGACATTTACGATCAAATCACCCATCGTCTTAATTGTTTTACAAGAACCATATAAATCTCCAATACCCACTCATACTCTGAGCCATTGAAATTGTAGATCTGCTCTCTATATATACATATTTATAGAGGTCTAAAAATAGTCGTCCGATGTCAAGTTGGACCTTTTCTCGTTATCGGTGTCAGATATAGCACATGCATGTGAGCGGTGAAAAAGGCCGAGATGTAACATGACTAGTTACATCGCCAAGTATGCGGTTAGTCATGTGGTCCTTGCTTTTTTTGTACATTCTAGGGTTGAGGCGAGGTGCAGATGTAGCAATTATCATTCATGTATGTTCCAATCCCCTTCCACGGCCTATATTCCCATCTCATATATTGATCAACAATAACTGTTCATTCGGAGACTCTCTCCTCCTCCGAAGCATCTGAAACCATGCAGACTTTAAACCCCCCCCCAAAACGGCCTAGCGCCAAACCTGGACAAAGTTTGTACTGTTTGCTTCCTAACTTTGTATAGCTTCTATCTTTTCTTCAAGTCCTCATTTGAATACTTTCTCTTTCTCCGAGTTGATCAAGTCGATGGCAGAAATTGTGGCATGGGTGCTCAATTACAAAGCCGTGTCATTTACAACCTCTTTTAGGCTATGACATTGGTTGCACATCGTCAACCCATCTTGACACAATCTATCTCACCCCGCGCCTGACTGAGTGTCATTTGATAGCTAGGATGAGTGTCGAAAAGACAATCAGAGGCCTCAAGCCCCTCGGTGGGAAAGTAGTTCCCATTCGAACAGTCCAAGAGACAAGGCCTCAAGAAGAGTTCGGTATGACCGGCAAAATCGCCCTCTTGCGACATCATGATTAACCAAAAAATAGCCGATGCCTTTGTCGCAGAAGTCAATGTGAAGTCTGCATCTAAAGTGATCAAGTAAGCTACAAATATGAATGATTTGCCAGTTCTAACATCAAATTAATAAATTCCTTCATTAGAGCTCTCGACGCGGCTTTTCCCAGAGACGCTTCCCTTCCACTGTCCCACCTCCGTCGCTTTGCCAAAAGAGAATCACTTCCACCGCCGCTGAAAGCAGCGATTGAAAACCGGAGCGTTCCTTTAGCATCCCCGGTTCAAACGATTTTCGTCCTCATATCACCACCATTGCCTGATTTTACCACACTCCAGGCTCTGCTCGCTCCATTTGCGCCAGCCACGGCACCGGCCGCTACAAACGACCCTCCAACTACAAATGAAATTCCAGACGGAGCTTTACATTCCGATCCTCCACCCCCTTCTACTATTCAACTTCACCCCATCAAAATCCCTCTTGCACCCCCCTTCAACACAACTCAAGCCGAAACATGGACCAAGACCCTCTGGCCGATCATATTCAACCCAGCTGCACCTCGTTCAACTGTGGCGCCGCCCCCTCAAACCCTCAAACGCGCACAGGAATCCATTGAACCACGGGCAGGGTACTATCTATCCCTAGCGCGCAAAGTAGCGGAGGAAGCAGAACAATCCGGGCTAGGCCGAGGGGTAGGCGCAGTGATAGTCGACCCTGCCATCGAAGAAGAGATAACCGAGGCAGGCTATGAGGAATGGGATGAAGCAGTCCTTGCAGTTGCCGGCGATGCGCGGTACTCCCGCTCCGAAGCGGGCGCGCCATCCCAGGCCCAGCTGCACGCCGGCGTAGCGCCGAACCCAGCGACCAAGACATACAACGCGGATATCGAAGGCGGGCCGGAACTGCACGCACTGATGCGTGGTGTCGAGCTGATTTCTCGTTGGCGCCGAGAACAGGAGCGTCTTGACGACGTGTCTGCCTCAACGGCTACCGCAGATCCATCAACGCCAGAACTAAGACAGCCAGAGCTGAGCGCCTTCGAATCATACTTCTTATACCGACGCCGTCCCGGTACATCCACCAGCATCTCAAACTCACCTCCGCTTCCCTCCTCCCCATTGAAGAGGAAGCATGAGGTCCCTAACCCTGAATCCGACTTGGCTATCGACCCCTCTACAGACCCTTCACAATATCAACTCCACAACCCACCTCTACCCGCTCCTCCTCCATCTACAGTGGTACTTGCCGATTCTTCTACACCGGTTACAACACCCGCAGCTCCGCGCATTCGCACCCGCTCGCAAGGTGGCTACCTCTGCACAGATTTGGACGTCTATCTTTCCCATGAGCCGTGTCTGTGCTGCTCTATGGGCATGCTTCTCTCACGGTTCCGCTCTGTCATCTTCCCCAGACGTGGGAGGCTAGAGACCGGTGGTCTGTCTTCTGAGCCGGTTGTTGGCCCTGTAGCCGATCAGCCTGATCATGCAGCGAAGTCTGATGCATCTGCAGATAATGGACAGAACGAGAGGGGATACTATGGGCTGCATTGGAGAAAGGAGTTGAACTGGAGGGCTCTTGGGTTTGAGTTTGTGGAGGACGGGGATGGAGATGCGGAAGTGAAGAGCGAGGCTGAAAAGCTTGTCTTTCATGCTTAATTGCATTCATTCTTGCTATAGTACCTATTCAGTTCACTGTTTTTCCCATTGGGTATAACCTACATACTAAACATACATCAAACTACGTTCGAGATGACAATATCCATGTTACTGTGTACAACTGGCTGTTCGTGCTGGATTGGGCTTGCGATAATTGCTCTTAGAACAATTCCCTCGCTTGATGCCCGTAAACGGTGAACTCCACCTAAAAATCCCACACAAGCAGTCAGAAGCGCTAGGCCAGCCATCCGATGCGGTCCCAGAAAGAGGACCACTAGAAGGGACAATGAGGACACCCAGACTGTCACCAGATCTAACAGATCAAAAGGTATCTGACCGATCAGGGGGGCTTTGCGCCGCCGCGACAATACCAACACATAGCATTAGTAGGAAGATACTACTCCCTGCTGTGATTGCAACAACTATACCTCCCTGTCCCCGAAATCCGCTGAGCATCTTCGCACTCAACTTCTCTGGCAGGGTTGTGACAAAGGCGATTACGGTTAACCCAAAGATAGTGCTTGCCAGATTGAGAGAATGGGCGATAATACCCGCGCTGGAAGCAAGGATATTTATACCGACAAGGAAAGTCCTAGCAATCCGAGAAAAAGCTGGAGGACGTGATGATAAAGCGACCGGGGAGGCCTTTAATCCTTTTGCACTGATGTATTTACCATTTCCCCGGGCTTATTTGCATCTCCTAGTAGAGGAGAAGATTCTCAGCATGACTGCACGGCACTCTGCTCTAGTGTCGGCTCATCAACATTGACTGATTCGTTGTCACTCTCATGATCACTATCCGACAGCTGAGGTGGTTCAGTGATACCTCTATAAATGACAACGCCAATAGAGATGAGACAAAGTGCGAGATAGCGATGAGAAGCCCACCGGTACCTCTCTTCAGCCGTTGAACATATGCCAAGATGATGGAAATGGTGGCGAGGAGGAATTGACGCGCAGAGTAGAGATTCGCACCCCTTTCCAAGGGAATCCCGCCTGAATGACACAAAAATCCCTAGGAGAAGGCACCGAGGATGTTGGAGATTGTAAATCCCATACAATTGCCCAGGGATCAAGGAGTGTGTGACCTTGTAGGATTGCAGCGAGCCAAGGGGGAGCTTGTCTGCACAGACTATAGTGAGATGGTAGAGCTCGAGCTAATGTACCTCTTCATATTCAGTCCCAGCAGTAAAAAGGGCAATGCGAGTCGGAAAGATGCCTGGTCGTTGCCCTACTATCATAGAGTAATCAACGAATTCCAATTTGTGACATGGGGGGTATGGGGATATTAGTTCTACAAAGCCGTTCACGTCTTGAATCCGACAGGGATGTCAAAATTACAGACTAATACACGCCATGACAAATGGAAATAATACATGTGCGTAAGAAACAGTACCCCAGCACCAGAGGCGATTTGCACATTTTTGAGCTAGTTCTACATACATTCTAGCCAGGGGAAATTATCTAAATAGAAGACATCTCAATAGACCTTGGAAAAGACTCCCCAAAACAATGCTAAAGTAGAGAACCCACAAAAGCCGCATGAGCAGCCCGCTGTTCTCAGATCTACTACTTGTAGATAGATGTGTTGGTGATACTACAAGACATGTGACACGACTTTCCTACACTCTTGAGATAACTTGAAACTTCCTTTGAAATTTTTTTTTTTGGTAAAAACAGGCTTTTTGACATACCACACTTGGTATCCTGCGTTCTCGCGCAATTCAGATATCCGACCTGTAGCCTCCACACTTCCTCCAGACCTTCAACGCAATGTGGTCTGCGCCATTGACCTCCCTCATCTCCCCCCAACACGAGCAAGAAACACCCCCGAGACCCCAGGCCGAACAACCCCAGCCCCTCTTCAACACCCTTCTATGCAGACAAAGAAATCAAGATCAAGACAAGGAAATTCGTGACTTCGTCACAGGATCTCCTGTATCGACGCCAGATGTCAAATGACATGGCAAAGTACATAAAGAATCTGGTAGGAACAGCTCATCGAAAGCAATTCTGTTCGGCCTGTTCATGCGCGACAGGGCCAATATGGCTTCGAAGAGTGTATCCATGAGAAAACGAAAACGGAGAGGGGTATAAACCGAGGTCGATATCCCACAAGATACAGCCCAAAGCTAGAAGGAAAAAAAACAATAGGCTCAAAAGGCAAAGCGTTGTGGTAGCAAATGATTCGGGTAGAATAGAGCAAAAACAAATAGGTCAAAATGGAGTCTGGGTAAATGCTTTTGTGAAGCAAAAGTGAGATATGACGAGGAAGCTATTGGGGAGAGAGAGAGATATCCAGGGACCGCCGTGCCCTAAATTGTGTTTCTCTCTCCAGATGGCTCCACTGTCAAAGATGGTTCATGTGCAGAGACGAGCTGAGCTGTAAACACAAACGTGGAACGAGCTCGCCGAGATTGATGGATGTTATGTATGACCTATCGATATAGGCGGCAGAAAATCCTTTGAAGAGAGGATCAAAATGCCAGACGTTGTGGAAGACACAGGACTTGTGGTGTCGTAGAGCGTAGTGGGTGTGATGCTTTTGCCATGTATCATTGACGAACGGACGCCCAGCCTAATGGAAGCTTTCAGGCGAGATTGCTCAATCCATTCGCTGGTAGAATAATAGATAGGCAACTTTGTTGTCACCAGAGCTATAGCGGCCCAGGGGAGTTCGGACCCCAGGAGGAGCGGCGGAAGGTGGAGCGACTCCGTTCACGGACTTCTTGCTTGCATGTCCGTTGGCGCCATTGCCATTCACCTGGCTCCAGCCCTTGTCGCTGTCAGTCAAATCCATGTCATCCTGATCAATGTGGTCGAAAATATTGCCGTTCGAGCTCTTGCCGTGCTTGCGCTGCTCAAGAGCGGCAGCGAGAACCTTAGGGTCTTCTTCGCCCCCAGCTTCCGCCACTTCCTCGCTACGAACACGACGAATAGCAGTGTCGTCCATGCGGATCCATTCCAAGCCTTCCTGTCGCCGAACATCGACTGTGTAGTGACCTCCGCTGGCGTTCTTTCCGTGGTGGTAAATGACACCCATAAGGCGATACTTTGGGGGACCTCCCTGGGATGCCATGGCATTACGCCGATGAGCTGGGAAAACCTCCCGCGGAAGCTCCAAGTCTAAGGGATATCCAACCTTCTTCCAAATTTTCTGCGTGGCACCTGTAACACTATCATATTGGAAGCGCTTGAGATGGAGAATGAGGACAGGGGGCAAGGTCTCAATGAAGATTTGTTTGGTCGCGGTAATGTTGGGTCCGCGCGACGAGTTGAAATCACCCTGAATGCTCTCCGGCTTTGTCATTCCCCTGAGCGCATCGAGAATGTTGTGAACGTCATGAGACCCGATGTCGAGTTGCAAAGGTTGATAGGGCTCCAATGTGACAGAAGTCTTGTTGCCAGGCACCTTAAATTCTGAGCGAAGCTTTCCCCCAAAGATTCTGGTGACCGGCGACTCGGCGGCAAGAGAACCAGACAGCTGGGTGACCGCTGCTTTTTGCTTGTGGCCAACCTCCAGCCAGCCGTCGACGGAAGAATCGCCGCTTTCTTTCGCTACAGTGTGTGATTCAGCACGAGCGCACTCCTCGTGCATCTCCTCGAGAAGGAAGCCTAAGAACTCTTGGGCGTCCTGCTGATGTCCGCGGCGCATGTCCCTGAATCGTGGTAGCTGTCGAACCATCTCATAAACAAAGTCAGGCACGAAAGACTCGCCATATTGCTCAAGCTCATTGGGCTTCAGTCTGAGACGAAGTTGGTCTTCGGAAGTGGCCGAGTCAATAACACGGAATTCCTTCATGAACATGATCATCCCATCGATCAAAGGAAGATCACTGTGAAAGGTGTGCGCAGCACGTCGGCCAAGATGATCAAGAAACTGGTAGAACGGGGTACAAGAAACAAGTATTTGCAACACAGAGTTCATGTAGCACATGTTTCCAGTGTTAACCAGTCCTCGAGGTTCAAGGAAGGCGATCTTGTCGCTGAATTGAGTAACATCCTCTCCCAGTTTGCTGAGGACATCTGCGAGGGATTTGTTTTTCTGAACAGGCAATCCGTGTGGCTCGGCCAACGCCGCCGCGGCCGCGGCACTTGCTGCTTTTGCCGACTCCTTCGAACGGACCAAATCAGCCCAAGATTTGGGTGCAGCTGGAACAGACGAGCTTGTCTTGGTTTCAGTTGAAGGGGCTTTATCCGAGTCTGCCACGGGGGCAGGAGTGGCAGATCCAGTCGATTTAGGAGTAACAGATGCGACGCTGCTATCTTTGGCGTGGCGACGTGGGGTAGATGGGACATTGGGCACCACCGGAATAACAGGAGTAGGCTTCGAATTTTTCGACTGTGCTTGTGATCTTACAATTGACGAAGGGGTGGTGGGCTGTGTGGAGTCTGCATCCGACTGTTGGAATGTGGTGGTTGTTGGGGTTTGCGGTTCCGAAGATTCTTGGGTGGATGAACACGATGGCTGAGTCTCAAAATTTCCATCTCCTTTGATAACCATTTGCATGTCTTTGGTGGGGAGCTCAACCGATGATTGCATGACACGGCCCTTTCGACGTCTGCGCGGGATTCTGGCTGGGAAGGGCTGTTCAGGAACAGAGAGCCAAGGAATCTAGACTAACAGTTAGAAAAGTTTCAAGTCTAATTTGAGATCAGAGTAAACACTTACTGGTGGGGCAAAAGTAGGCTTCGGAGGCAAGTTTGACTGTGGCTCCCATCGCGGTGGCGGGGAAGCGATGGGATATCCCTGGGCCGAGTGCGGTAGAACAGCAGGGTATTCCTGCATTTCGGGCTGAATGGGCTGAATCGATGGATGCATGACAGATGGAGACATTATCGGTTGCAGTGGAGTCGGAGTTCTTTGATGCATGGGCATCGAATGAGAAATATGCGTGGGCGCCATGACAGGCTGCGAGTGAGGGTAGGATGATACAATCATCGGTCCATAGGGCGCCTGATATGGACGTGGAGGGCCCTGAATATGTCCATATGGTGGATACCAGTAAGGGTACTGCTGCGATGAGTATGGTTGATGAGACATGTGGCCATTCATGTGAGGAGGATATCCCATGTACTGTGGTGATCGCATATGGGGAGGCGCAGCGTTGTAAGAGAAGTCCTGCTGGCGCCTTGAAGGAGGCATGGGCAGCTGCCCATGGGGCATGGTAGGGAGGTGGTGGTTCATCTTGAGCTGGCTAGAGAAAGAAGTTGTCTTGACGTTCGGTCACGCGTTGCCTCAAATGAGTGCCATGCGCGATAGCAGTCAAGAGAAAAGAAAAATCTGGAGCTGCTGGCGCATTTAGGCAGCCATCGTGGCCTCAGTAAGAGGTATTGGATATGTTGGAGAGTAGGTGTGGCGGATCAACAGGATCAAAAGAGCTGTTGGGGTTGCTAGGATTGGGTGAAGGAGACTGGCAAACCAGATCGGAGTGAGAAAACAAGGAGAGAAAGAAGTAGATCGCTGTACAGGTAACTCCCTACGCAGAGAGAGTCAACAAGTGGATGAGAAGCGAGTGAGCAAAAGGAAAGAAAAAAAAAGAAATAAGGTGCTTCGATTCACTGTCAAACGAAATGAAGCTGAAGGGGACCGAGACCGATGTGGGTGTCGGGACTTACTGGTTCACGTGACACAAGAACTGTTGACCGTGTTTGCGGCCTTGTGACGTCTTTTCGGTCAGTCTTTTTAGGTGTCTTTTTTTCTTTACAGAGATTCTGTTCCCCTTGCCAGTTATAGGGGGTATTTTATGCGGGTATGACAAAGTTTTCAGTAGTCCTTTTAAATGTCTTTCTTCTATAGATATTGTGCCACCCTAGTTATTTTTATAGATAGATGGCAGAAAAAAAGCGGAAAGAGGCTTTGATTGTGAAATGCGATTTGTAACCGGAGAGGGGCGAAACTGCACCTTCACGACATCAACTGGTACCCTGAGGGCCGTCCCTCTGATCCTCACTACTGTTCTTACATGGCCTTTAGGGCCATTTGTTCTCCTCCGCCTCTTCTGGTCCAATCTGATGCATCTGGTGGATCACTTAATCTACTGCCCGCTAGCCGATTGCATCTTATCAGTTGTTGACTTTGTCCAGTCCCCCATAGCACCCCTCATCTTCCATTTCAACCAACTGCCTCATTTCGTCTTCCTGACTTGTTTGATTTATTGGGACTTTCACAGTTGCAAGACAAACACTGCAAAGACATGTCATTCAATGCAGGACAAAACCCGCCCCCTTCTAAAGCGGTAAACATACCCAATGCAACCTCTTCCACACCATCCCACTTGGCAGCTCCAGGGGAAAACAGCAGCTCTCAAAGGCGCATAGGAGGCGCTGGAAGCTCTCGGCTAGGGGTATCATCCAAAACGTTAGCCACCCCAAGGAATAATCAAGCTCGGAAAAGCCAACATAACCGTCAAAGAAAACCTCGGTTATTGGATGATGACGAGTACAACGAATCGGTGGGTTCACAGGTCTATCTTCCTTAAGAGCTGCCTGCTGACCCCGGAGGTCGCTATAATATAGGCCGCTATGAAATCCACCACCAGTCGGAAGGGTCAGACGTCCATAACTCACTTGATGAACTTTTCACTTCCACCTCGCCCGCAATACCAAGCACCTCCACGAAACATTCGACGGTATACGTCCTGGGGAGCGGGTGTAGTAGATAAATCGCGTTATGTTCATGCGAATTACCGGTTTATTGTGATGCCAAATCAAAATTTCCACGCTCAGGCAGTCAATGCCGATGTTCATCTCGACTGGGCCTCGGTCCTTCAAGTGCTCGTATCTGCTCAAACACAGGCTGCCAGTTGTCCCATTTGTCTTTCAACTCCGGTTGCACCGCGGATGGCACGTTGTGGTCACATCTTCTGCCTCCCATGTCTTATCCGATACATGCACTCATCCGATGACGAGAACACGGTCCCTGAAAAACGGCACCGTTGGAAGAAATGCCCTATCTGCTGGGACTCTGTGTATATCTCTGAGACTCGACCTGTCAGGTGGTTCCGTGGTCAAGAAGGGGATCTTCCCGTCGAAGGCGGTGATGTTGTATTGAGACTCGTAAAGCGAGAGTCAGGCAGTACTCTTGCTCTGCCTCGTGATGGATCTGAGACACTTGGTCCAGGCGAGGATGTTCCGTGGTATCATGTGGCAGAAGTTGCCGACTATGCTCGAATTATGAAAGGTGGCGAAGAATATATGACCGCTCAGCATGATGCTGAGATCGAAGACCTCCACAGGCAGGAAGTGGAAGATGAGCTTCTCTTTGGTGACGAGAATACTTGGACCCGAAAAGCAATTGGTTATATCAAGGATGCCAAAGAAAAGCTGAAAGGAATTGGCAATCCGCCCGAGGTCCGGCCAGTCAAGGAACACACTATTGCACTTACGCCAGCTACATCAGATAAAACGGATAATCTCTCTAGAACCTTAGACAGAGTCCAACTCGATGCTGAACCGAATGCCAAAGGCAAAGAGAAAGGCCGCAGCAAGCAAACGCCAGTATCTTCCGGGCCAGATCAACCATATCACTTCTATCAGGCTTTACCTCAGTTCTACCTCTCGTCCTTGGATATTCGCATCCTCAAGGCAGCATTCGGAGACTACTCTCTTTTCCCTGCAACCATCTTACCGCGAGTGGAGCACATCTCAACAGGCCACATCGTGGATGATGAGCTTCGCAAGCGAGTAAAATACCTCGGACATCTTCCGCAGGGATGTGAGGTTAGCTTCCTGGAGTGCGACTGGAGAGACGTGGTTGTCCCCGAGGTTTTGGGCCGTTTTCGCTCAGAGACCGATAGACGCCGAAAGCGTAACCGGGAAAAAGAAGCCCGTGAGGAAAAGGATCGCATTCGCGCGGAGAAGGAAGAGGACGATAAACGGTGGGCTTCCGCTCGGCGCAAGCGGCCAAGCATTGGAAGTGGCAGCGTCAGTGAAGCTCCATTCTCTGCTCATGACTTCCAACCACTTCCTCGCAACGTGGATTTTGACACCGCCGCCGCCGCCTCCTCGGCTTCTCCTCCACGCTCATCGTCTGGTTTTGGAGCATTGGCTTCTCCTTCCACCAGTCCCCCAGGTATCCGCACTGTCTGGGGCACAACGGCAGTGGGTTCACCATCACTAAGCTTTGAGGCTCAACGAGCCATACACAGTGACGGGTGGCGGCAGGGCTGGGAGGAAGAGCTCTTTGCCCAGCAGGAATCTGATATCCTCGCTCAGACGGCATCTGGAGACCAAAATTCCCATCCTGGATCATCTTCCAGTATGGGTAAAAAAAAGAAGAAAAACAAAACCAAGATCACCTTAATGGCCACTAGCAGCCAAAGGGGGGCATAGGTCTTGACGGAAGCCTCGTTGCCTTCTTCAATCCCGGTTGACCTCGTAGTGCATTTTCATTTATGATCCCCTTCCCGACTCTTCGGGCTGTTTTAGTATCTGTGATCCTTGGCTGTGCCGGTATGCTATTCTACTGGTATTGTTGAATTTTCTGGTATATTTGAATGAAACTAACTAGCATTTACATTTACATTTACATTTACATTTACAAACGCAATTCAGTAATCTTCGGTGTGATATTAGTGACATGATATGTAACAATATGCCAACGTGTTTTTCTTGACCCTTTAGCTTTTCTTTTAAGACATTTACAGAGGCAGTAAAAAGCGCTTTCCAGTGTTGAAATATAACGGGCAAAATGCATCGATCTACGGAGAAGGGATTGAAGAGCTAAATAGTCAAAATAGGCAGATCTCAAAATGATTCATTATGTAATCAACTAGTACCGGGCCCGCGGACAAAGTAAACATTGAGAACATTCCTCTTTTTTCACTCTCGCTCTTTTTTACCCTCAGTCATTCCTTTCCTTACTCTCAATTTCAGTCAGAACCTTGATCTTCAAATTAAGTGACCATGACTTTAACCCGCTCTCAAACGGGGAAGACCCCTAAGTGAGTAGTTTCCACCGAATCTCAGTTGCGATGTATCCACACCCTGAATTCTCCCCAGGGTTATATCTCGCCAATCCCCGGAACTTGTGGCTTGTAGATAGTAGGCTTTCTGTCAAGCTAATTCGGAGTCCTTTCTTCCCCCAGAAAAATGGATCGCCCTGGCTTCATTGAGACTCCTGGCGGCCGTCGTACCACCCGCAACAGTTCTGCCTTGGAAGGTAGCAAGCATGGGGCCTCCAACTCCCCTTCCCTTGAGAGATCTAAGTCCACCTCCCGTCATCGTACTTCAGCCAAATTCAAGACTGAAGAAATTGATACATCGGCAAATGTCACGACCAATGGCAAGACTACTGCTCCTAGGCCCAAGTCCGCATCGCGCGTGGTGGACGGTTGGGAGGAAGGCCTCGATCCCAAGGTGGATTACAGCGGACACTTTGAATTCGGTGGCTCCTTGGGTGTGTTGTCCATGATGATCGGATTCCCCCTGCTCATGTACTACATGTGGATTGGCGCCACCTACTACGACGGCAAGTTCCCTCGTCCCGCGGAGAACGAGAGTTACGGCGACTTTTTCGCGTACATGGCCAACCTAGTCTACACCGGTGCTTTCCCATCGGTCAAGGCATGGACTATTTATTGGGTTTTCTTCATCTTTGAGGGTGCATGTTACGTGCTTCTTCCCGGCGTGAGCGTCACGGGTCGCCCCCTGCCACACATGGGTGGCCAGCAGCTGCCATACTATTGCTCTGGTGTGTGGTCTTTCTACACCAGCATTGCATTGGCACTCATTGCGCACGTAACTGGAGTCTTCAAGCTGTACACCATCATTGACGAGTTCGGCCCCTTGCTCACCGTTGCCATCCTCTCTGGATTCATCGTCTCTTTCGTTGCGTACTTCTCAGCTTTGGCGCGTGGCGCAGAGCATCGTATGACTGGCTACCCGATCTATGACTTCTTCATGGGTGCCGAGCTCAACCCCCGCATGTTCAAGATCCTTGACTTCAAGATGTTCTTCGAAGTCCGTCTGCCCTGGTACATCCTGCTCGGCCTGACCATGGGTACCGCCGCCCGTCAATGGGAGATGTACGGTTATGTATCCGGCGAGGTTATGTTCCTTGTCATGGCTCATTATCTTTACGCCAACGCCTGCTCCAAGGGTGAGGAGTGCATTGTTTCCACCTGGTAACGGTATCTCCTAACCCAGATTTAAGATTATTTCCTAACAGTTTGCAGGGATATGTACTACGAGAAGTGGGGTTTCATGCTGATCTTCTGGAACCTGGCCGGTGTGCCTCTGAGCTACTGCCACTGCACCATTTACCTCGCCAACCACGACCCTGCTGAGTACCGCTGGAACCGCTACTTCCTTGCTTTCCTTTTCGTCGCCTACCTGTTTGTCTACTGGGTGTGGGATACTACTAACAGCCAGAAGAACCGTTTCCGCCAGCAGGAGCGTGGTACTATGGTGTCCCGCAACACCTTCCCCCAGCTTCCTTGGCAGACAGTGGAGAACCCCAAGACTCTTACTGCGGCCGATGGCTCGAAGATTCTTGTAGATGGGTGGTGTAAGCTCATGCTAAAAATCAAAAAATCCATGAGATGCGATACTAACAACCTTATAGATGGCAAGGCCCGTAAGATCCACTACACGTGCGATCTTTACTTCGCTCTGAATTGGGGCTTGATTACCGGCTTCTCAAGCCCGTTCCCTTGGTTCTACCCTGTCTTCTTTGCTTGCATGATCAGCCACCGTGCTCTTCGTGACATCCAGCGGTGTCGGATCAAGTACGGCGAGACTTGGCTCGAATACGAACGCCAGGTGCCTTACCTGTTCATTCCTGTGAGTAACTTAATTCTGAACACCCTCCCAGCGCCTGTAATTAACCTTGTATACTATAGTATGTCTTCTAATCGCAGCCCGCTGCTTTCCCTTGGACTCATTGGGGGCTCAGTAGTTGGGAGCCCAGGGGATTTTTCTTCTTCTTCAGGTCTGATCAGACCATCATTCGGCCATACAATCTTGGTGTATCATATGTATAAAACGAAACGTCAAATAAATTATTAATGCCTGCACCGATCATGAAGCAAGATGTTCCGGCCATCCTATGGTGGCCTCGTTGAATTTGGGGGTCCACCTTGTGGCTTTTTTATGAGCTTTTGGTACGATTGTGACGAGTCTTCCGGATTACGAAGTTGATTTAGATATGAAGAGATAGTATCTTATTCAATTCAATTCACAAATCTGCATTTATAGTAAAAATGACATCTACCTGAGATCGAGTGGGATGTTGGATAGTCCACTGGTGTCAACACATGACTGCCCCGCGTGTGTTGTCGGTTACGATTTCGCCGCCCTCAAGCGGAGGTCTGTATTCCCGAGGTCGCTCCCAATTTAGTTTCTTAATTCTATTCCAATATTCCACTATCTTTAAAAAGAAACGAAAAACACCATGCTCATCCAAGAATCCTATCATGATGTTCCCACCACAGCGGATGGACAGGGAACAATGCGTATGCACACTCTGATCTCTCTCATGGAGCACATCCCCTCCACCCTCTATAAAGCCATTGCTCCTTCATGAAGTCAACTCTAACGAGTTACTAGGTATCTATGTCTTTCACCCGAAAATCCCGGGCTACCCCAAAGCTCGCTTCCCCGGAGTCGTAGTTTTCAGCGAGATTTATCAAGGTTCGTATCCTCTCCAGGGCTTCCACTGTTGCAATTATGCCCGAACACCTCGACTAAAGATTAACGGCCCACAGTAACGGGCCCCGTGGCACGATTTGCACGCCAGATCGCAGGCCAAGGCTACATCTGTGTTGCTCCTTCGAGCTACCATGAATTCACTGGTCCGGAAGCTCTGAAGTATGACGCAGAGGACACGGACAGGGGGAATGCATGGAAGATTGGCAAGGTAGGCGAAATAACACATGCTTCACTTTTGTTTACTAGAATTGTCCTTTTTTGGCCAATTCATGAGTTGATTTCCCTTGCTGACTCTCTATCAGAAACTTGCCGCCTATGACGAGGACGCTAGTCTGAGCGTGGATTATCTGCTTTCGCTGCCCACTTGCAATGGCCAAGTTGGTGCCACGGGCATGTGTCTGGGTGGCCATTTGGCCTATCGTTGCGCGCTGGATAGCCGGGTCAAGGCTAGCGTGTGTTACTTTGCCACGGATATCCACAGCAAGACCCTCGCCCTGGGAAAAAACGATGATAGCTTGGAGAGAGCAGGAGATATCAAGGGTGAGATGCTATTGGTGTGTTATGATTTTTTCCCTAATATTCTTCATTTGGGCTTACTAACCAAACCCCTAGATCTTTGGCAAAAATGATAACCACGTCCCGCCTGAGGGACGCGATCTCATCCGCAAGACCCTGCATGATAAGGGCGTCTTGTTTAGCTTCTATGAAGTCGCTTGGGCGCAACGTGAGTTGAGCACACTCCTTAATCTTAAAACCTAAACATGCTGACAAGAACGCCTGTCTAGATGCCTTTATCCGTGATGAGCTCAGCAAGGGTCGGTATGATCCAGCTATTACCAAGGTCTGCTTTGAGATGCTACTCGAACTGTTTGGGCGCACCTTGAAGCTCGACCTGGGTGATCATGATGGACAAAAACTGGTGATTGAGGATGTGTGTTGAGAGGAGTGTTCGAGTCTTGTCAAACTACATGGATTACTGTGCATAGGAAGGGGTTGATTCGCTCAAATTGGACGCGAATCAATTTCCAACGGGACTAGATCGAGTTCTCAAGGGACATACTTGTATGGATACTTGTATGGTAAGTACTATGTAATCACTCCGGCGAGGTACAGAGTAACGGTACAATACTGCAGACACAAAACATGATTGGACGCACATCTAAATCAACAGTAGAATGGTCTAGAAATCTTGGAAATGCAAATTCCAGAGGATCGTACGTGCACGTTTACTTAACTTGTGGCTTGAGTCCATCTGGTCGACCTGGCGACCATGTTATTGTCTCCGGCAAGGGTCGAGGTGACCACTATATCCACAAAAGAAGAAAAGAAGGGAAAACCATATCGGCACTGAGCTTCAAGAGATCTGTAAGTATCCCTCATAGCAGAACAAAGAGCCTATGGTTTCTACACATGGCACTTTTATATGGTTGAATCCCTACAGAGAAAGTACCCAAGACGAAGAGAGTAATATTTTTATCAGTGACTAGGAATCACCATTGTCACCCTCTCCAAGGGTTTGTTTTGATCGCATGGTTATTATCAATTTGGATCAAAATTCATGGAAAACTTGGAAGTTCGACGGTTTTTATTTTCCACTCTAAGCCACACTAGCGCCAGCCCTGTGAGTCCCCCGAGTAACCCGTGGGGATCAGCTTGATTCCTTGTTTCCCCTCACAGTCCGCTCTCTACGCTGCACAGATACAAAGCTATACAGCTACACAGCTACCAGAGCTATAAGAGCCACCCGGTTTCACTTCTCTACCTGAACTCCAAGTTCAATCTCAACCTGGTTTGATTAGAGATCCACTGATCTGGACCGGTCCTTTGCGCGGGTCAGGACGCCCCATCTTGAACTCTCAAATCTAAACAGCCTTTGTCAACATTGCCTCACGGCTTTTCCACCTCTCGTTTAAACCCTCAATTCATCATGGGGTCCACTCAATTCGGGAACTTTCATGTAAGGGCAGATTAACCTGGAGACTGACACTCCAATGGGCAGATACTGACCGCACACCCATATGGGTGTCATAGAACTTCTGTCGCGACTCAACCCTACCAGTCTGCAATGTGAGGTCCCTTTGACAATCTCCCACGTTAGTTCTATGAATTTTTCAACTGACGGTATCATTCGTTGCACATAGCTTTTCACCAATGAAACCGCGACTGCTGCCTTCGGCGCATGCGACCTGACCGGCATTCCTCTCAGTGGGGATAGACACCTTCGGAACTTAGGTACGATCTGCGAAGCTAAGGCGGATGCGATTAGGGCCAACTTATGTGAGCACAATCTCTGATGTGTGATAGGTTCGATTCTGCTGGCATTCATCGCCATTGTTTTAACCGTGGGTATGATATGGAGATCGGACAAGAAACAAGCTGCTGTCGGCCGGAGGTATGGCGTTTCTTTGTTCGCTATGTAACTATCAACTGATTATGATGTGCGCAGGGAGATGCAATTGTTTTTGCTCGGTTTCGTCATCATTGAGATCTGCGAGATCTTCACAGTGGGCGGCTTCCCGCTGAGCGACGCAGTCCGAAAAGTAGGATCTCTATAGGATAGACTTAAGGTCTCGACTGACAGAAGTTTGTAGGGATTTTCTGCAGTACATATCGCCGCGATCACGGCTACTTGCTGGGTCCTTCTCATGAACGCACTTGTCGGCTTCCAGTTGCTTGACGACGGCACCGCGGCTTCCATCGGTCTCATCGGTGCATCTGCTGCGGCCTTTTTCATAGGAACAGGCTATATTGCCTTGGACACCGGATTTGATTGGACTGGCCGTTTCCAGTCAAGCCATGAGTCGCCAAATCGCAATATCGCCCTCTACGTTCTGTACCAACTCTTCCCACTTGTCTGCCTTGTTTTGTTCTACCTACTGGAAGCTGTACTAGTGCTCCGGGTCCTGGGCGAATACCGACCAATGCGTAAGTACACCTTATTGGACTCAAATAGAACATGTGCTAACGGTGCAACAGTCTACCTCACCGGTGCTGGCCTGTTGTTCGCAATTGGTCAGATCTTCAACTATGTGATCAGCACTCACCTGTGCCAGGCCTCGGACGGCAAGATCAACGGAGCTTTATTCGAAACGCTTTTCACCCTCCTTTCTGTCATAGGGGTCTGGGCCTTCTGGAGTAGTATCACTGAAGACGACTGGCCTCTGCCTGTGGGTGGCGGAGGTTATAACTGATCTGATAATTATGCCATTTGCATGATCTATGAATTTGTTTCGTCAGTTTCTTGCGTGCGAATTTTAACGTCTCTAATTATTCTTCTGTCAGACATAAGCTTCTTCGCGCTTGTTTACGTATCTGAATCTTGAACTGGGATTGTCGACGTTGTGATACCCCATTTCCTTGAGTCATGCTTCACGATTCACCTGCCATCTTTTACTTCTACGGTGGTTATCATGCCTTGCTTTGCGGCTCGTTCCAGCCCATCGATGTTTTATGAATTTACCTGCGGGAGTTTCTGTCTCCTAGTCTAGCTACTGGACGACCTCGTACCAGAGTTGGCGTTTTTCTGTTGTTTTGTTTTATGACAGATACCTCCTTGCCATGTACTTAGTTGTAACCTATGTCAAACAATCGACTTGAGCTATCTCACCTTGCCCAAGTTCATCGACCCTAGCTAAAACAGCCAATTCCCACCCAGATCAATTCTTTCATCGGGAGACTTTTGTGTAAACGCCCCTCGAGTCTCTCGCAAGGTAGGTAGCATCTGATGCTACCTACCTACGCTGATATGGAAATTGGGGAAAGACATGCCTTCTAATGTGACTTGGTGTGACCACCTAGGAATGCTGGTTTTCACGTCCCTTTATATGCCCATCTACCCATTGGCTGCCAATGTGACATTCGTGCTGAGGGTTAAGTGTTCCTCTCTTTTGCTGCGAAAGAGTCCTATGACTTCGGCATATATAATACGCAGCTTTCCAATTCAACAACATCGGAACATCGTCCCTATAAACCCCAAGAGATTCTAAACTTAAGCCCACCCCTCTCGCTTGGTCTTAATTATCTCCAAAAAGTTCTCGAATATGCATTTCAGTATCACCGCTCTCATCCTCACCTCGGGGCTGACCTCTGCTGCAGGATTAGCTTCTGTGGCCAATAATACCCACACTCGGGCCTCTTGTACGGATCTCTTTCTATAAGCTCGGTTATACGCAACTTGGGGTAAGCTAGCATACTAATACAAACGAAACATATAGTGCGGCAACAAAATCTAGATATCGTCCGGCAGCTTCCAGAGGCGTGTAGTGTCGCTGCTTGTCTCAATTTGACGGCACAGCTTACCTGCATTGCAAATGCTATTACCAACGGTGATCCAGCTGCTCTGCAGAAGTGTTTAACAACTTCCATGAGCCAGGTATATTCTTTTTTCCCTCCTCGGCTCGTTTTCTTTGGGGACGATAGGAAAACTAAAATCTGGATCTAGCTCTGCTCATGTGTTGCTTGTATTCCATCGATTGAAAATGTACTTGTTGGGCTCGGTATCTGTCCGATCTCAAATAATGGCGACGATAGGCCTTCTTCTACGTAGTCGCCATGCAGCCCTCGGCTGCGTTACAGTTGGGGGTTCTGTCATTGCCTGTCACAGTTTGGGTTTCCTTTCAGAACTCAGTGCATACATAGAGCTCAGTCCAATTACTGCAGCGATGCTAGCTCTCTTTTTGCTATTTTTGCTCTTTTTGCTCTTTTTGCTCTTTTCGTCTTTGTCGATGTTGATGTTCAACTTAATATGAGGTATCTATTTAGGTGAGGTCTGAGCTTAGACTCGACGACGTCTTCTTCGAATTATGTTTTACGTAGCCACTACTTCCAAGGTTGGGGTTAAGTTACAATACTAGAAGAATCTACATCTCTAGCAAAGACCCATTTAATGATTGACAGATTAGTATAGAATGGGATATGTACAGGTTGTTCATAAATGTTCAGGGGAGGATATCGAGATCTGCACATGAACTGAAAACACAAGAATCGTAGATAAGATATTCACTTGAAGAAATTGACAGGGCTTATTTTGCCTAATGAAAAGCTTTGCGCACTTCATAGTCGAACCTTGACATCAACACATGGTAGAGTCCATTCCCGTCTCCCCAAGAGGCTGCGCACCCACTCCAACCCAAGTCCTGTCCACTCATTGGGCCTTGACTCCAACACATTAGGGGAAAGTCGTTGCTGGATGGTCTCCAACACAGCACCAGCCAAGGCTTTGGCGGTGGAGTTCATAGTATCGAAAACAAATTCCGTCAGACCCTCACCAGACACCGTTGCTTCGTACGTTGCGTTACCTGAGATAGCATAATCGCCAGGTTCTGAAGTATAGCGTGGTGCGAGCCAATTACTCCGTAGGTCAAAGATGCAGCGGTCCGACCAATGACACGACGAGACGAAAAGAATTAAGAGCAATGCGGAGCAGTAGATACATGGCCGGTGAATGATGTATGTCAACGCAACAAACGATATGATGAAGAGCGGGGAGGCGTTGGTCGGAACGAAAAGGAGAGGTAGCCAGCTGCAGTATGGATCATCTCAGTTAGTCTCTATCACCTTCTTTGTTGCTGCTTACTTGCATATCTTACCTTCGTAGACAGAACATTGTGATGATAATGGGGATTGCGGGCGCTGGCCTTCCGGCGGAAATGTGCAAATAGATGAACAAGAGTATTGTTTGATGTAGTTAATCCCGATAACTAGTCCAGTGAGCTCACCACCTTCGAACTCGGTAAGTGAAAGTGGGCTACATAAAGGCAGTAAAAGTAATCTGATCACTAATGACGCGAGTCGGGCGAGAAACAACACCAGCCACCGCCCGCCACAACTCGGCAGCCTCAGCCACACCCACGGCTCGAACAATATTGCCGGGAGTTCTTCTCTCCCTCACCCTTCCTCTCTACTTCAACACGTTCTTCAATTTCATCTCCCTTTTCTTGC